CATCCTGAAAGTGCTTGTCTAGACAAACAGCTTAGGTAGAGAGCTTTCTTCACAATTGTTTTTCATTCCCCCTCTCCTGAAGGTTTTAATTTCTCTTCCCTTCAGTTCCACACGCACCACTGGTACTTCATCCGTGACTCTTAGCAGTCAGTATTTACTGATTATTCTGCTTCAACCGCAGCTCCAGGTGTGCACCAAATGTATGTGGAACATTCACTAGTCTGTTTTTAGCGACTGTTAAGCATGGTGGTGATGTATCAGGCAAACCGAAAAACATAAATGCCTGATTTCCGTCTGTCCACAAATACATGCAAGCACACACACATTACCAATAGATTTCTCATTTGGTTTTTACTAAAAGTATGTTTTCTTTTTCATGGGAATAACAATAATAGTCCTTGTATTTGATACAGCGCCTTATCACTGCTTTGAGGCGTCTCAAAGTGTTTCACAGAATATGCTGTAAAGTGAATTGACTATATTTTCTGGCTGAAACATGGCAGCCAATGGCGCACAGCAGTGTCCCACAAACAGTCATGGATTAAGTGACCAAATTATTATTTTTTGTAGGGATTATTACCCTGGAAAAGCGATCTGCCAATCAACTAACAACCGGGTTCCTACTTACTGCTAGGTAATTAGAAGTGTGTTGAGTAAGGAAACTTGCCCAATGTTTCACCTTGTCCAGGAATCAAACCCAGGTCCTCTTGCTTTTGAGGCGAGTCCTCTAACCACTGAGCTACAGGACTCCACATTTTGTTGATTTAAAGCATTTGTGCTCATTCAAAATGATTATAAATTATTTTTTGAGTTTTGCCCTTGTGTTTTGTTGAAGCCCTCTTGTGCCGCCCACCTTTCCAGGCTAGAGGCCTTACTGACTAGACCTTGATCTTGGAGCTCAGAGTCTTGGACCTGCTCTGCTCCTGAAAGCTTGCCCAGTATTGTATGGTTAAACCTAAAATTACCAAGTGAAACTTCCCCTCAATGTCTTTACAGTCCTTCACATTAAGATGACTTTTCCTTGGAATATGATCACCAGAGGCTCGAAAGCCTGCCAGTCTTCGCCTGTGAGACTCTTTTGTCTTAAATTCAAGACATAGCGGTGGAAAATTCCAAAACCCAGGCTAGGGTGTAAACCAGTTTCCCACCGTTTTTAAAAAGAAACCAGCTTTCAAATGAATGCCAATATCAAAGAATTTTCCACAATTTAGCATCAACTTAAAGTCTCAAAGTGTAAAATTCCTCCTGGGTCTAGATTAGTTATATTTATGTAGCATTTTGAGTGAACCAATAGCAATTCTTACAGTCAGCAAAATATATAGTCAGTTCACTTTACAGTATAGTCTGTGAAGCACTTTGAGACGTCTCAATGTCGTGGATATATCAAATGCAAGGATTATTATAACTGCAGAAAATGAGCTTTAAATTTAAGACTGAATTCAACTGTTTGCCAAATTCCTGGACGTACTGAGGTGCTATGTTAATAGAGTAAATCTAGGCCCAGTGTAATTTCACCCAATGTACCGACAAGGTAGAACTTTGGTGCTCATATGCCCTTCATGTGGTCCATGAAATAAAGATGGATGTTGTTATGCCCTGAGCCCTGTCAATTTGGTCCTCATTCTTTTTGACACGGTATGTTTGAAATCACGTGCTGTATTGGCATCATTGGAGGAGAATTGGCTGGAGGTTTAATGGGGTCATTTTAAATCCAGAATAAACAGGCAAACAAAAGGGGTATTTTCCTTTGAAAGGACCCATTATGCATTTCAGAAATTGCACATCAATTATTCCAGCCTTGAGCTTTCCGCAACCGAGAGACACCCTTCATAATACTTTATACAACTCATGTTTAATTCATTTATTGAATTCACTATTATTTGTGACGATTTTTTTCTCATGAAAGTGCTTATTTTTGTTTTAGATATCGCAAAAGAAAGTGTTATTTTCTTTAATATTTCTTGTTGTCAGAAAAATGTCTGGCTCATTCGATTACTGTCTCGCTTCTGAGTCAGAAGGTTGTGCGTTTGAGTCCCACATTGGTACTCACAGGCTGAGCTGATCACATAGTACATACAAAAACATTGTTGGAAGTGCTGTGCCTCATGTGAGACCCTAAAACCAAGCACAGTCTGCCTCTTCAGGTGGACGTTAAAGATCCCATGGCATGATTCAAAAGGAAAAGGGAATTTCTCTCCAAGTCGTGACCGATAATCCATCAAGTAAAAAGCGTTAGTCATTTACTTCATGGGTGTTTGTGGTAATTGCATTGCGCATAATGGCTGCCATGTGCGCCTGAAAAAAACACGGCCACGTCACTATACATTGTACTCTGTGAAGTGCCTCCAAGTGCCGTTTCGGCAATGTGATTTGGTGCTATGCCAATACAGCGATTGTTGTCTTTCACTTTAGGTCTGTTTGTGGGATCTCACTGTGCGTAAAATGGCTCCTGTGTTTGCCTACAAAAACAGTAAATATGTGACAGCCAATTAATGTAAAGCAACGGAGGATGTTTGATGTGATCAGGGATTCTGAAAAGTGTGGATTCTTTTCTCTTTTCATTGTCAAGAGCTCTGTCCTGTATCTAAAATCTGAAATCAGTAAACTGCAATATTAGGCAATTACAAGATTAAGTAATCAGCCAAGGAAAAACTGCCCAATTGAGTTGCTCTGCACTGGGTATAGATTTGTAATCCTATTGAACCTCAGGACATCTGTGGCTTAACCAAATGTAATATCACTCCTTGCTCTTGTATCAATTTCCTTGCATATTAATAATTCCTGCATTTGATAATTTGCATTTAAACCTGTAAAGAACTCAAAGCCCATCACAGGAAATTGACATTGAGCGTATGTAGTAACTGTACTTAAAGGCTTGCATGGCAGTCAATTTGCACACAGCAAGGCCTCACAAATAGTAATGAAGTGAATGATTAATTTATCTGGAATTTTGTTGGAATACATGGATGAACTCCTTTCTCTTTTCCATGTCCACTTGAACAGGCACAGGCTCAGTTTAACGAAGGAAGGCGCTAACAACAATACAGCGCTTGTTCCACCCACAGTACTGTACTCAGGAGTTGATAGATTTTGGTAGGTCAGGGTATTAAGGGATATGGGGAAAAAGCGGGAAATTGGAATTGAAAGGATTAGTTGAGGTAAGATCAGCCATGATCTAATTAAATGGCAGAACAGGCTTGAAGGGCTGAACAACCTCCTCATGTTCCAATGTTCCTATGTCCTGGACTGTGAGCTCAAAATCATCTGACTTGAGTACGAGAGTGCTACCAACTGAACCAAGCTGGCATCAGTGGCTGGCTGGCCTTCAGTAATATGAATTACACAGAAATTAGGATCTTACAGCTTTAGCACTGACTGAAATTTGAACTAGCAGGGGTCACATGCAGCACCTACCCTGTAATCCAATGACCAAGGGACATATGGCATTGCTGGCAATCAGGCTGCGAGGAAAAGGTCGCCTCAATTGAGAACAGTTTGAGTTGTTGCTCATATGGCAATGTGACTGTAAATCTGATGCAAAATTGTATTCCGTGTTCTTGTGCATCATGTATTGGCAGTGAGCTGGCAGGGAGGCTGCTCCTTGGTTTTGTTCCGTGTCCAGTTCAAGGTTAATAGTAAAGGAGTGTTGTGATCCCAATGCCAATCCACATCCTCCGAGGAGCCAGGCTGGCTGATCTCTCATCAACAGTGCCTTGGAATACTGGAGACCTGTCTGTTTTAGGAACTGGACTACCAACTCTAAAACAGTCCAGGGTGGTTCCAGCAGTGACAATGAGTTAAAGTACCCTTTAGTTTTCTGAGTGGCACAAGTGGCAATGTGGTGACAACCTGTTTACTGATTTTGTTGTTTGCAGAAGGGACGTTTAGCAGTTTAAACAAAGGGGAGCTACTTGGTACCACATTGTAAACTAATAATCTTAATTTGCTTGTTGGTTGCTAATTGCCATTTAAGTACACTATTCACAGCACCCTCCATTCACACGGAATCACGCTGCCTTATAAATTATCCTTCACATGGGTGCTTTGTGGGATCCATTCAGCCCCACCCCTGCTTTTACACACTTGCACAGTTTGGAGTGTTTGAGACTATCCTTTTTGCCAGTGAAAACTGCGTATATCATTAGGAACATTTTCTCTCTTCACCTTCTTTATTCACTTTGTCTTGTTGATCAATAGATAGTATCTATGTATATTGTATTAGATGTTATCGATCTTTAAATGGATACTTGGTATCTGTATGATGTACAGTATTTGTATGTTAGATACATGGTACCATATAGATACCATGTATCTAATATTGGATACATTATAGATACATCTGTTCCAAAAAATAGTATGCCATCAGCTATATTTAATTAACAAATCTTTTAGTTTAAGAGTCAAACCTTGTTGGATTAAGCAGAGCAGCATATAATAGATCTACATGCCCTGTGCTGTAAGGTTGGATTCACAGTTACCTCTTTGCATATGATCAGTAAAATCCCAGCCCGAGGCCCTCTGTGAAAGAAAATGGCTTGCCTGAGTAACTCCTATTCAGATCTTCACCCCAAGGGGGGTTTGTGGAGTCCTGTATCTCAGTAGTTAGAGCACTCGCTTTGCAAGCGAGAGACCTGAGTTCAATTTCAGGCAGAGAGCGAAATCTTGGGCAAATTTCCTTACTCCACACACCTAATAATAATCCCTCCAAAAACAAAACAATAATAAATGGGTCATTTTCAATCTTCGACTGTTGTGGGATATTGCTGTGCGCAATTGTTTGCCGCGTTCCCCACAAATATACAGTCAATTCACTTTACACTGTGTTCTGTGAGGCGCTTTGGGACGTCCTCCCGACGTAAAAAGCACTATATCAAATGCAAGGATTATTATTATTGTTGGGGAAGAGAGATTTTTCCAATAGACACCATATTGATCACTTGATCAAATTTATTTCAATGTGAACTTGTAACTCAAATTAGTTATTGATTTGCCTCCACCAGGTTATGGCTGTCATCTTGAAGAAATTCACATCAACACTTTAAGGTAACCTGTTAATTAACCAGCAACTGAAACCATTGAACCTAAAACATCCGTGACATTGCAGGAAACCATTTCACACATTGTATCCGTGTCGGTGTTTGTACTGCCAGTGAATCCTAATATAATAATAATCAAATAATCCTTATCTCAATTCATTGCCCCCTCTTTCTGCATTTTCTCAGCTATCTGGTATGTCTGATACACCGCACACACACACAATTATCAAAATCAAACTTCTAATTCACAATAACATTGTTCTTGCAAAATAAAGTCTTTGACAAAATGTAAAGTATAGCTGTGTTTTTCTCCACATGACCCATCTAGTCTAATCCCATCCTGTTTACCTCCTACACCCTTTAATATTTCTCGTTTTCAAATTCATGTTTAAAGAATTGAGAGAGACTGCAACAATTTGTGGCAGAGAATGCCATGCTCCCACCATTCTCTGTGTAAAGACTTTTTTTTCCCTTGCCTCCCTTTAAAATCTGTGATTGTTGCTAGTCCATGACTGATTCAGTTATTAGAACCATAGAAATTTACAGCACAGAAAGTCATTCAGCCCATCATGTCTATGCCAGGTCCCATTTACCTGCTGTAGTTTACTCCTTTTCAGGTATTTATCTAGGTTCCTTTTGAAAGCTAATATAGATTCTACCTCAACCACTGTTCCCAGCAGGTCATTCTGTATATCCTAATCTGTATATGAAAAGATACCTCCCCATTTGCTCGTTTTGTATCTTAAATTAATGCCCTCTAGTCATTACCTCACCGACTAAGTTAATCTGGGGACTGAAAACTGAGTTGTGACTAATTGTGACATTAATAACCAAGTTAGTTGCCCTTTAGTTATTAGGCCCGAAACACTAACTATCCAGCGCCTTGGGATGTCGCCCGACGTGAAAGGCGCTATACAAATGTAATTTTGTTGTTGTTGCTGTAGTTTCGCTCCTGGTTATTTGCAGTTAGTTAGCTCCTAATGCTTGTTACTGATTCTCATGATAAAGTCATGATATATTTGACATTGGAATATTTCATATGGAGTTTACCTGAGCGCAACAGGTGCTCTTTTACTGTACGTAGTAGTGTTTTAGTACTATTTTTTTCTAGATCCTTTGTTCACTACTAAATACTCTGCTGAGTCACTACGCCATACTCTGCTTTGAAAAATTGATGTTTTGATGACAAATGATTTGTTATATAATGCCGTTAGAGACTCAACTTCAATAGCTGTTTGTGATGAGACATTCTAACACCCCTCTGTGTAAAACATTGCCTCTAGCCTTCCCCTTTTCCCTCTGGTGATAATCCTCACTTTATGCTGCCTTGATCCTTTTTAGCAGAGATAGATTTTCTTTGTACCATAAAACCATAGATAGCAACTATGTGAAAGTTTGTTAAAATTACTGCCTTGTTTCGCCCATAAAATATACAGTCAATTCACTTTACAGTATATCCTATGAAGCGCTTTGAGACGTCTCGAGGATGTGATAAGACGCTATATCGAATGCAAGGATTATTATTATTAATTCTGCAAAAGGAGATGAGAAAATTTGAAATAAACATGGTGTTCCCTATTCTTATTTATTTGTTCCCTCCCCCCCCACCCTCTTCTCCATGGGGGTGGGGGATGAATAAATAACCACCTGCCTTATTCCGTTTAAAGGAGTAGGCTTGACAGTCGAAATACTTTCACCCTATTTTACATCTGCCTCTCATAACTTATGACCTTTGCAACAAGAGTAGCTGTGCACAGATTAGCAGCAGTTGAACATGACACGGAGCTGACCTAGAACTGCAGCAATGAGAGCTAAATGCTCTGTTCATTCTATGTGCCTGTTATGCCACCAGGACCTGTGCTGAGATACAATCTGCCTTTGGGCTGAGTGGGATGCAGAACTCCAGTTAGGATGTCCATATGTCACAGTGTTTGGATGGCCAGTGTCTGCTTACGATTGGGGCCTGATTAATGGAATGCCGTGTATCACAGGCCCACTCTCATCCAGAGGGGTAATTCTGGAATGCCGTTAACTTGTTATTGCATTACATGCCAGCCAAGTGACTGTGCCTTTCCCACTGACTGTGTAGCAAACCTGCCATTGAAAAAACAGATTTTTCTGTGCTGGCTCTTGCAATGCATATAGCCCACCAGTGATCTTGTAAATGCTGCTAACTGCTCACAGTGGAGCTATGAAGGACTCTGAGATCTATTTGCAGGTACAGTTACAGCTGGGTGAACCCTTCTGCTTTTTTTCCAGAAAGAGAAGCACTTTTTGTTGTAAATTGTGATGATATTGGGGATAACTGACTAAATGTTGAGCCCTTAAGTTTACCTTGGTGTGCACTGACTATGGTTGTTCTCCCACCCAATCTCAGCTAATCCTTGGCACTTGCTGGATCGGGCAGATGCCAAGTACTGATATTTAGAAGGAAACACGTAAATATATTTTAAAAAAAGGAAACACTTGCTTTTATTCAAGGCCTTCTTACTCTCTCATGACTTGTCTTCTTTCCTTCACCCGTGTTAATCACTGTTACGCTGTGTCTGTCACTGTTACGCACAGCAAGGATAAATCTTTCCTTTTCTCTACTTCAAGTTGTTTTGAAATTGGTTTCCCAACTCATCTGGAGTTTTTTCATGCAGACATACAAGTAGACATGCACATAGGCATACCTCCCGTTCCCCCAGCCCCAGATATACACTCTGAGGATGCTTACTTTTGTTCTTGTCTCATTCCTCTTTGTAAAGGTCTGTGGTTGGCCAACACTTTAGACTGTTCCTTATACATTACAAATTGATTTTAATTGCCTGCCCTTCCCCAAGTATTTTATTAAAGGCAGACCCCAGAAATAATTGTGACAAGTTAAAATGATTAACTGGCCTGTGGGCACATGGCCAGTTTGTGCTATAGGCTAGAGCAGAGGTGTACTCTGAAATCACACAAACGTTACCCTGTACTTTGTGTATTTAGAAGCTGGGTGAGGGGCCCGGGATACAAGAACAGCATCACCAGTCTTGCCGAGCAGAGAAAGCCCAGATGTCAAGCATTGGATGGATTTGGGTTTTAAGGGATAAGGGATTTTAGTATAAAGAGGGGGAGGGAGTTTGTAGAAGGAATGTCCAGAGTAGCATCATTTAAGTAGGTGTTATAGATTATAATAGCATAGATTATAATGATTCTTGCATTTAATATTTAATATGTGCCTTTCACATGGGAGGGCCTCTCGAAGAGTTTGTGTTAGAGAGAGAGTGGGCACCAGAAGTGAGGGAAGGATCTCCATGGAACGAGATTGATTTTTTAGAGTTAAAAAAGAATCTATTGCTGAATTGGGTGTTGGAGCTGCTGTGGAGCTTCAATTTGCAGAATGGCGTTCTGTTCATTGTGTATGAGTGTATCACTGACCTGATTCACTCGAAGACATTTTATTCCTTGTGTAGCTACATGCCCTCGCCTGGCCCAAGCTGGAGATTTCTACAATCTTTATTTACAGCTGCAGCAACCCAGTAAAAATGAGCAAACTCCTCTGGCTGTTTGATATTATAATAATCCTTGCATTTGATACCGTGCCTATAACATTTCAAAGTGCTTCACAGGGAAATGCTGTCGAATGACTATTTGAAAATGAACACCGCAGCTAATTTGTGCACAACAATGTCCCATGAACAGCCAGATGGTGACCAGTTGAATAGTGCCATGGGACTTTCTACGTCCACTTGAACAGGCAGTTGCGATCTCTTGCAAAAGACGGCACCTCCAACAAGGCATTGCTGCCCCAATGCTGCACTGCAGCGTCAGCCTGAACTGTGAGCCCGAAGTCAGCAGTGTGGATATTGAATCCAAAACTTTCTGACTCAGAGGTGAGAGCCTGAGCTTGTCAGTTGTTTTGCTGCTCAGCAGAAAGCAGTGTCAGAGTTGGTGGAAGGGAGGCCTGTTCCCGAGCTGGTGGAAGGGAAGCCTGTGTGAGTTAAATAAATAATTGCCTCATTCGGAAGCTGGGTCCAGTGATGCTGGCAGTGGGAGTGTCATTCGCGCTGCGGCCAGCGTCTGTGCAGCTCTTGTGTGATTCTAACTGGATGATGCAGCAGAAAGGGAGCAGGCGCTGACTGCTGGCATACTCAAGGGCACAAAAGTCAGGGGTTTGGGGGTTAGAGGGGAAAGAAGGATAAGCAGTGCATCGTCCTGGGGAAAGAGCTGGCAAATTAACCCCCGAATGCTCCATGGAAATCCCTCAGGCTTCATTTAATTTATGCTGTAGTTCATGCAGACTGTATGTGGGACAGGAATGTAACTGTAAAAGGATGGTAGCATTCTGTGGAATTGCTACATAGCTGAATTCATAGGATTGGTATTTAGATTCCATTGGTTACATTTATGTATCGGAAATCATGCTCAAGTTAAAAAATGCTGATTCTATGTTTCTCTTCTGCTTGTATCCCATCCCATGGGGGGATGGGGGGGGGGCTTGAAATATCCAAGCAATCAAGCACATGCTCAGAAGTTCTGAGATACTCCTGTCAGCTGCTCATCTTATATCCCTGGTTTCCGAAACGTGTTGATGGGGAGACAGGATATGTGTGTGTGTTTTACGTGTCTTTGTGCTGTAATTAGCATGATAGGGAGGTGTCTGACTTGAAAACAAAATTACTAAATTATGTTAATACTGTGCATTTTTCCCCCTATTGATAATGTTTCCTGTCATGAAGGTGTCAGCTTAGCTAAGTGGATAGCATTCCTGTTTCTGAGTAAGCGTCGGGACTTTGAGCTTGTACTCCTAGTGACACTCCAATGCAATACTTGGGGAAGAGGAGCACTGCATTATCGGAGGGATTGTACTTCACACCTTGTACTAGGGCCCTATCTGGCTTTTCAAGTGGATGTTTAAGATCTCGTGACATCAGAAAAGAGAGAGAGAGTTTCTCCTGGCCAACAATCCTTTAGATAAAATTGGTTAGTTCACTGAAACAGAGACATTTCCATGTGTAGGTGGCATGCATATATGAAACT